TGTGAAAGTTGGACTATAAAGAAAGCTGAGTGCCAAAGAATTGATGCTTTTGAACTGTGGTGTTGGAGAAGACTCTTGAGAGTCCCTTGGACTGAAAGGAGATACAACCAGTCCATCCTCAAGGAAATCAGTCCTGAATATTCATTGGAAGGCCTGATGCTGAAGCTGAAGTTCCAATACTTTGGCCACCTGATGTGAAGAGCTGACTCATTTGAAAAGACCCTGATGCTGGGAAAGTTTGAAGGCAGGAGGAAAAGGGGACGAGAGAGGATGAGATGGTTGGATGGCATCACCGACTCAATGGACATGAGTTTGAGCAAGCTTCAGGAGTTGATGATAGACAGGGAAGCCTGGCATGCTGCAGTCTATGGGGTCGCAAAGAGTCGGACACTACTGAGCAACTGAACTGAAACTCAACATACTTAACGAGCTCATTATTTCTCATGTGTTATTAGATAACTAACTTTGTTGCTGCCTAAAAAGGACCCCAAACTCTAGCAGCTTAAAACAACAAACTTCGTTATCTCACAGTTTCTGTAGGTCAGGAAGCCAGACGTGGGTTGGCTAAATCCACTGGTTCAGGATCTCTCACGAGGCTGCAATAAGGTATTGACCAGGGCTTGGTGCTGTGGTCTCATCTGAAGGCTCAACTGGAAAAGTATCTTCTTCCAAGTTCATATGGCTTGGCAGGATTCAGTTCCATAAGGACTGAAGGCCTGAGTTCCTTGCTGGCTGTCAGCCAGAGGGCACCCTTAATTACTTGCCATGTAAGCCTCTCCAACATGGCACCTTGCTTCATCAAAGCCACCAAAAAAGAGTCTGCTAGCCTGGCAGAAGTCACAGTTACTTATAACCTAATTATGAAAGTGACATCCTATCATATTTGCTACATTCTATTGTTAGAAGTAAGTTACTAAGTTTAGCCCATACTTAGGGAGAAGAGTTTACACAAGAACATGAATATCGGTAGAGGGATTGTTGGGTGCCGTTTTAGAAGCTGGCTTATTTATTTGTGATATATTAGACATTGTTCTAAACCTCCTACATGAAGCTTTCATGGCTAGGAGGGTACAAAAATGAAAAAAAAAATCAGTAATATGTACACTGTGTCTGATATTGCTATCTACTGTTGAAAATAAAAAAAAGGGAAATGGTTTATTACTGTTGTCTGCTTGAAAGCAGAGAGATGTCATTTTAAATACAGAGCCAGAAGGGTCTTATAGCCGTCCCAATATATTGTTTCCACCCCTGTTGCTGCCCAACCCTCACTTTACCCTACATACGCCAGGTTTGAGGATTCTAGGCAGATGGCAGCATAAGTGAGGCTGGAAGGTACCATGACTAGACAGCAGAGCATAGCAGTTAGAAGCATAGGTTTGGGGGCTAGCATGTCTGTGTTTAAATCCTAGGTGTGTGACTATGAGCAAGTTGTGCCTCTACTTTATCTGTAAAATGAGGATAAATGTACATACTAGCTTATATGATTCTTGCACATAATACTTGTTAGAACACCTAGAAAAGTTCTTATGCAGAGATTTTAAGATACCAAGATCCCATCAAGATGAAAAAGCTAATTTAACAGTAATAAGGATACCAGAGAAGGAACCATTCCATTGACCATGGATTCTAAGCCGTTAAAAGAAGGGAGGAAATAAGACTGGATCTTTATGAAGGTAAACATACTATTAGTTAAGAAATCATATATACCAGAGGGTTTAAAAAAAATATTTGGAAGAAATTATCAGCAACTCAGTTATTCAGTAGCTAAAAGGGAATCATGGATAGATGTATACCACCTTTCATAAACTTTACCTAGTTCAAAGAATTTCTACATATTCAAGAAGTCTTTGTGTCATGCTACGTCTCAGGTATGAACTAATCTGCATATTTTATTTGTTGCTTCTAGTTTCTTTTGTCCGAACATGTTTGTTTCTCTTCACAGCTTCCACTTGCTCTACTTAGAATTGAGCAAAACCTCTTCAGAATATTTTGCTAAAGATTAAAATAAAGGGCAAGTATTATGCTAAAATATAAAATAAACACACTTTATAGTTTTATAAAATCATAATTTAAAGACAAGTATAAATATGAAAGATAGGTGAACCTTAATCACCTATTAACCTATGAAAACTGGACTCTTCTTGCAGAGGCTTCTCTTGTAGCAGTAGTAGTGATAGCATTATTATTGTTGCTGTTGTTCCTGAGGAGTCCAGTTACTGCAGTACCTCAGGAAGAGTTAGGGGTGAGTGAGTACAACTGAGTCACAAGGATTCAGGGAGTAAACGGTGATCAGGAAGCAGGAGGAGCAAATGAGGACTATACTTTCTCGAATTTTCCCTTCCAAGGAAAGGAGAAATAAGATGACAGCTTGAGGGTCATCAAGGTCAAGGGCTTTTGCTTCTTTTTTAGGATGGTGAAATCTGAGCTTATCTGTTGAGAGGGATGAAATGAAGATACCGCAGAGGCAGTAATTAGTAGTCAAAGCTCTTAGAGGAGTAGGAAGGGAATCAGAGGGGACGCACGCATGGAGTGGTTTGATTTGTAGGTTTTATTTTGTTTCAGCTTTCTGTTTTTAAAAAGCTTTCCAGGTGATTCTAACAAACGGTTAGCCTTGAACCCAGCTAGCCCACACTGCCTGTTGTCCTCCTCTTGATTTCTTGCCATCTCTAGGAAGTTTCTCAGAACATTTCAGCAATGAGCGATATCTGCTCCTCTAAGTGAGATGCACTTAGGTTGCTGGGCTTTGGTGGAATTCAGTTGTATTCTCAGGCTTGTTCATTGGCTTTAGATGGGTTATTCCTTTTCCTTTCAAGAGCTGACTCTTTATCACATGAGTGATAGAGTCAGTGGGGTCAAGAGGAAAGCTTGGTAACCTGAACATGATTTTTTTTTTCTAGAGTTGAAGAAAGTTCCAAACAACATTCCTCCAGATATTGTTAAACTTGACTTGTCACACAATAAAATCAACCAACTTCGACCCAAGGAGTTTGAAGATGTTCATGAGTTAAAGAAATTAAACCTCAGCAGCAATGGCATTCAATTCATAGATCCTGGTAAGTTCCACAAATAGCCCTTTTAACAGGCCACAGGTATTCTTGGCAGCGTTTATAGTAAATACAATTTAGTTTTTGAAAAACTAAAAAGAACTTTGAATTTAAATTAATATGATGCTTAAATTAGAACTTGCTTGGCAAGAAATATTTGCCAAATTGTTGCTTTATGAAGTATGTAATAGTGTATATTACTAAGCAACAGTTATTAATTGGTCAATTATTCAATTGGCCCAAAGAAGTGTTTTGTAGACTATATTTTAAAAATAAGAGTATGTGGCTAATAATATGCTACACATGTTGTGATTTTTTTAAAAGGAAATTCAGATTTGGCATTCTCTTTGCTATTCATTAAGTCCCAACTTGTTTAAAGTAAGACTTTAACAGTAAATTTGAAACATTCTACTAAGCAGAATAAATTAAGTTCATAAAATTAAGCATGCTCATAAACTAAGATAAAATGTGCTCAACTTAGAGCCAGATAGATTTTAACCTAATCCTGGATCAAGATCAATTCTTTTTCATCCTTCAAATCTCTTCTCCATTTGCTAAGCAAAGCCTCTGATAAGAATGAACATGGTAAGTTAACACACTGAATTTAGAAAGAACTGAGAATGATTACAATGTTGATCAGGTTTGTAATGTACATAATATTTGTGTCTTCCTAATTGAGAAGCCCACTGTTTAAAAATGTGTATTAATGCATGTATGCTATTCTAAGTCACTTCAGTCATGTCCAACTCTTTGTGACCCTATGGACTGTAGCCTGCCAGGCTTCTCTGTCCATGGACTTCTCCAGGCAAGAATACTGGAGGGGATTGCCATGCCCTTCTCCAGGGGATCTTCCTGACCCAGGGATAGAACCCAGGTCTCTTATGTCTCCTGCATTGGCAGGCAGGTTCTTTACCACTAGTGCCACCTTGGAATACTATTTTGTTGCTATCTTTCTTTTTTTAAAAATTAATTTTTTTTAAATTGAAGGATAATTGCTTTACAGAATTTTGTTGTTTTCTCTCAAACATCAACATGAATCAGCCATAGGTATACATATGTCTCCTCCCTCTTGAACCTCCCTCCCATCTCCCTCCCCATCCCACCCCTCTAGGTTGATACAGAGCCCCCGTTTGAGTTCCCTGAGTTACACAGTAAATTCCCATTGGCTATCTATTTAACATGTGGTAGTGTAAGTTTCCATATACTCTCTCCTTACATCTCACTCTCCTCCCCTCCCACCCCATCTGTGTCCTTCAGTCTGTTCTTTATGTCTATTCCTCTATTACTGCCCTGCAAATAAATTAATTCATACCATCTTTCTAGATTCCACATATATGTATTAGTATATGGTATTTATCTGTCTCTTTCTGACATACTTCACTCTGTATAATAGGCTCTAGGTTCATCCACCTCATTAGGCACACAAATGTGTGCCTTTTGCGACTAAGTAATATTCCATTGTATATATGTACCATAGCTTCTTTATCCATTCATCTGTCAATGAGCATCTAGGTTGCTTCCATGTCCTAGCTATTGTAAATAGTGCTGCAGTGAACTTTGAGGTAAATGTGTCTTTTTCAGTTTTGGTTTCCTCAGGGTATATGCCTAGTAGTGGGATTGCTGGGTCATATGGTGGCTTTATTCCTAGTTTTTTAAGACTCTCCATACTGTCTTCCGTAGTGGCTGTTATCAATTTACATTCCCAACAGTGCAAGAAGGTCCCCTTTTCTCCATACTCTTTCCAGCGTTTGTTGTTTGTAGACTTTTTGATGATGACCATTCTGACTGGTGTGAGGTGATATCTTATTGTAGTTTTGATATGCATTTCTCTGATAATGAGCGATGTTGAACAATTTTCATGTGTCTGTTAGCCATTTGTTTGTCTTTGGTGAGATGTCAGTTTAGTTCTTTTAAAATTGAAGTATAGTTGATTTACAATATTGTGTTTCATATGTACAGAAAAGTGATTCAATAATACATATATATTTTTTCAGGTTCTTTTCCATTATAAGTTATTACAAGATGTTGAATATAGTGACCTGTTCTACACAGGAAATCCTTGTTGTTTATTTTATATATAGTAGTGTATAGTTTCACTGACTTACTAACTCATTATTTTAATCTCCATCCACATGGCTGCAAATGGCAATATTTCATTCTGGCTGAGTAATACTCCATTGTATGTATATGTGTGTATATAGATAAACATTCATCTATTGATAGACACTCAGGTTGCTTCCATGTCTTGGATATTGCAAATAGTGCCTGCAGTGTTATCCTTTCCCCCTTTGTTCAACTGAATTTCAAAAAAGTATGATATTTTCTACATTAACAAATATGTACTGAGCATCTGGAAAATGTCAACCACTTTCCTTGGTAAATCTTCTGGAACAAAAAAGCATCTCAGAACTTTTAAGTGGTCATTTCAGGCTGGTCATTTAAGTCAAAATGACCTTTAAAACTTTTAAAATAAATACCTTCTATATTTCAGGGTTTTTGAGTTGAAACACTGCCAAAGCAAACTTACTTTAATGACATATGCTGGTAGGTATACAAATGCAGTGAAATATATAAATCTTTAAAAGGAAGTGTGAATAACAGTCTCATAAAATGCCAGATATTATTGCAGAAAAAGGAAAGAAGGCACCCCCCATTTTAGAATCTACCTCCTTTAAGGAACAAATGAAAAGTAGCTTTCCAAAGTGCCCAAATACGTATGGTTTAAGTAACAACTTTAGCATTTTCAAAATAAAATATAGGAATGTTTACAGATGCTTTCAATCTGAAGGGCTAACTTCTGTTAAGAAAAGTAAACAGTGAGATGATTGACTCACAAATGTTAGCAATTTTTTTTGAATGCAGTCTTTTCAGAACTATCATTGCAAGGGCTGACCTTTTGCTCCTTCACAGTAGCCTGCTCCTCACTCCCTCCTCCTCCCCACACCCAAGTCATTGCTTTGCACCAAAATATAATTCTTCGGGGGGCTTCCCTGGTAGTTCAGCTAGTAAAGAATCCTCCTGCAATGCAGGAGATCCCGAGTTCAATTTCCTGGGTCGAGAAGATCCCCTGGAGAAGCGATAGGCTACCTACTCCAGTGTTCATGGTGTTCCCAGGTGGCTCAGAAGGTAAAGAATCCATCTGCAATGTGGGAGACCTGGGTTCAGTTCCTGGGTTGGGAAGATCCCCTGGAGGAGGGCATGGCAACCTATTCCAGTATTCTTTTTTCTTTTTTCCTACTCCAGTATTCTTGCCTGGAGAATCCCCATGGACAGAGGAGCCTGGCAGGCTACAGTCCATGGGGTTGCAAAGAGTTGGACGCAACTGAGCAGCTAAGCACGCATGAATTTTGTCTGAGAACAAATGATATGAAAATGGTTAATGGTATTGGTTTGAGAGTGTATTTTTGAAATTCACCATAAGGGCACCGTATACCCTAACCAAAAGTATTTTGAAACAGCAATGAGAAAACGTTTAAAATAGAAACAAAATATTTAAAATCAGGATTTGCCTGTTATAGCATACCTGGTCTATTCATATTAACTGAAAAAGGGATAATTTATGTTTAGATTTCTTTACTCTCAGAGAAGGAAAAATAGCTTTTTGTTGTATTATTTTGTGTTATGTGTTCAATATTTGTTTTAATTATCTACCCTCTGGTGAGATTAAATATGAATTCAAAGCTGATACCTACCATAGCTTGCCAAAATACAACCAGATGTTTTCAAAATATTGATAATTTTTGTTTGTTTGTTTTGGACAATACAATAGTATAATTCCTTCCCCATAAACTTGGAAATGGCTGTTTTCTAGGCATTTTCAGAGTTTACTCATGTCCCAAAGAGCGGTCAGATTTCTGAACACATTTCTCATTTTTTGTGCACTTATGTCTTACATTGAAATATTTTCCTAATTCATGTCTTTCTGTGGCATTTTTCCAGTGAGTATTAAAAAATGCACATGAGCACAAAATACATTTTTTTAGAGAGCTAACTTAAAACTGATTTTTCAAATAAAAAATTGTACTCTAGTTAATCTAATCAAGGGGAGAGCTTTGAGTAAAAACATGTTTCAGAATTTTGCATTTAGACATGTATACTGTTAGGGAAATATAATTAAAACCAGAGTACAGAAATCATCTCCACAAAGTAGTAGAGAAAAAAAACTCTTTCATTATTGAATAAGCATTAAATCAGAATGTGATGTACACAACAGGCAATCTGCTAAGAGATTGCAGAGGCAGAGAGAATCTCACCCTTTTTGTAGCCAAGCAGAATACAACCTAGCATATATGTGTTTTCAGGATACATGTTTGATCCCTGGGTAGGGAAGATCCAACCCAGAGAAGGGAAAAGGGAAAAGGGAAAGGGAGAAGCTACCCACTCCAGTATTCTGGCCTGGAGAATTCCAGGGACTATACAGTCCATGGGGTCGCAAAGAGTTGGACACGACTGAGTGACTTTCACTTTCAGTCCTTAAGTAAGACTTGACAGCACCACTTGCCAAACATAATTCATTCTAAAACCTTACGGAGCAATTGGAGTAGCCATCTGTGGTAGCTAATTGGTTTTATCAAGAAGAAAACAAACTTCTCTCTCTCTGGGAGAAGGCAAGGATGGGATGTTTCAGGAGAACAGCATTGAAACATGTGTATTATCTAGGGTGAAACGGATAACCAGCTCAGGTTGGGTACATGAGACAAGTGCTCGGGCCTGGTGCACTGGGAAGACCCAGAGGGATCNTTCCATGTATTGGCTATTTTAAATCATGCTGTTACGAACAAAGGGTGCATGTATCTTTTTAAATTACTGTTTTCTCCACAAATATGCCCAGGAGTGGGATTGCAGGATCATATGGTAACTAAAAAAAATTAAAAAAAAAAAAAAAAAAGAGATAATTTTGCGCCTTAAAGGCTCTACCCTTCCACAGTAACTGGGAGGCAGGAGTGTTTCCTCCCTTGATGTTTCCATTTCAAAGAGATTGTTCCCAGGTGTGTGTGTGTTTGTTTTTTTTTTTTTTAGACTTTAATGATTTTAATTTTTAAAAAAAATACAACATTTAAATAGTTTTCACATCTTACGAACTTGAAATTCATTTCATAACCTTACAAATTACTGTCATTAATTTCTAGTCAAGAGATGATAAATTTCCAGTTCAGCAACACATAAAATGGAAACAATGCATGTGCCCACAACACAGCAAAGAGGCACAAAACCAGGATCAACAAATACAATGACAGTTAAAAACTTTCCAAAAAGGGCAATAGTATATGAAACCTACTCCATTTCAATTATGAAATTAAAAGCCCAAAGAGGACCATGATCAAACACAGTGATGACTGTTAACACCAAGAGACAGGGGTCCAGAAGAATGCAGTGTATCTCCTGAGGATGCTTGTGTCTGGTCATGTGAGTGACAGTCCCTGGCCTGCTGGCACCCACCCCAAGTGCTTCAATCACTCACATGCTGTAAAACTCATTCTTAGAAACTTCTTAAGAGGATCCATTTCCCCTGTATTATTGCCAAATCCACATTCAAAACAGAAAACAGGAAAACTTTGAAGTATGTAACAGCAATTGCTTTCACATCTCAGGGGTGTTATTTCTTAGAACAGGTGGTAATATGTTCTACCTAGCCATCTTCAAAGTCTTTAAAATGCCATCTCCTGTCATTCTGAAGGAGACATTCTAAAATAATCTAAAAAAGAAAGTCTATCCACATAAGTTTTCTGAAATTCTGGGGGAGGGGGGTTCAGGATGGGGAACACATGTAAATCCATGGCTGATTCATGTCAATGTATGGCAAAAACCACTACAATATTGTAAAGTAATTAGCCTCCAACTAATAAAAATAATTGGAAAAAAAAAATATTTGCCTTATCCCTTAGCAACCACAAGTCTGGTTTTCTATGTCTGTGAGTCTAAATTCCTTTTTAAACATTAGGATATAAAAGTTTGACATTTGAATCAGTCAGGATCGACCCTAAGGGGAAAGAGATGGCACCCACAGGTTAGGATATTTTGAGGAAACTTTTAATTTACAAAGGAAATAATTACCAGGGTGGACCGGGGTTTACAGAACCACAGATGTTCCCATCAGTGCAAGGAATCCAGCAGCAGTTGAGGTGTTAACGACACCCAAACCTGAAAGGTGAAATCACAGATACTAATAGAGAGGCAGAAGGAGAAGCAGAACATGGGGCAGAGAGACTTCCCTGGCAGTCTAGGGATTAAGACTTTGAGCTTTCACAGCAGTGGGTACAGATTCCATCACTGGTTGGGAAATTCTGATCCTATCTGCCTCATGTTCCCAGGTTTTTAAGAAGGATGTTCCTCAGACAGCTGAGAAAGGCCTCTTTAGTCTTCGAGAGGATGTATATACATCCTTTCAAAAAAGAAGAGAAAGTACTTGGAAGTTTTCTAAAGTAAGAACTCTGTGAAAAAGGAGGTTAAGGAAAACCTTTTCCTTTATTTTCAACAGCGAGAATTGTCTCTTACTTTTAAATTTGTCCTTATAATATACAGTGCACTTAGCCTAATTACTCATTGGTTTTAATAAATATTTTCTGTTTCTAGCTGCTTTTTTAGGACTCACACATTTAGAAGAGTTAGATTTATCAAACAACAGTCTGCAAAACTTTGACTATGGTGTGTTAGAAGACTTGTATTTTTTGAAACTCTTGTGGCTCAGAGAAAACCCTTGGAGATGTGATTACAACATCCACTACCTCTACTACTGGTTAAAGCATCACTACAACGTGCATTATAATGGCCTGGAATGCAAAATGCCTGAAGAATACAAAGGGTGGTTTGTAGGAAAATATGTTCGGAGTTACTATGAAGAATGCCCCAAAGACAAATTACCAGCATACCCTGAAACATTTGACCAAGATATGGAAGATGATGAATGGGAAAAAGTACATAAGGATCACACAGCAAAGAAGCAAAGTGTAAGAATCACTATTGTGGGATAACAGAATTGTTCTTGTTGCAACTAGTTTTGCCTTTGCTATACTAGTGTTGGAAAACTGCATGTTTACATTTTGATTAACTGTATTACTTATTTATGCAGGATTATTCAACTAAAGGAAGGTTCCCTTGATTATTATTGTTGTTGTGACAATACAGTAATCAAAGGAATACTCTTATCCTGCTTGCCTGCCTGTTTGCCGAACAGCTTTTGATGATGATTCCACACTGGTAACCTGCAGAAGTTGGGTCCTAATGATGGCATTAGATTTTCATAATGTCCTGTATAAATCTTTTTACTGCTTTTAGAAAATAAAAAAAAAAACTTGGTTCATTTTTACATGCTTTTCAAGAGTTGCATGCACATACCTAAAGATGATCAAAATGAAGAGATACAAATGATTAGTAATAATAAAATCTTATTCTCTCCCCTCTACCCCCTTTTTTTTTTTTCAGTAAGTCAGCTTATGCACTGAATAAATTTCCATATTTGATTCCTGTGCACTCCAAAATGAGGTCCTGGTAAACCCAAATTCTCCACTACTTTTCACTGATCTTTGCAAAAAAAAAAAAAAGTCAAGCTAAACTGGAAGAATTGTCACATGCAATAAGCCAAGAATCTGAGAATTATATTAGAGACTGGTTAGAAGACCAGACTCTGAGAAGCAGTTGTACATGGTGTGAATCATGAGCCCTGAACAGGTATAGACACTAATAAGTGTGGAAACAGCACTGATGTTTTAACAGACTTTAGGCTATGGAGCCGCCTGTCAGTGGGAAGGATCTGAGCCCTTCCTGCTAAGCTTATATGTGAAGGAGCATAAAAGAGGATGAAATTAGGATTAAGGGTCAGGATTTGAGATGAAAAAGAAACAAAAAAGAAACTGATATCAAAAGCAACTGAGGGAGCAGGCAGTATGGAAGAGAAGCCCTATGGGGTTGCAGGTTAAAATTAGCTCACCTAGAAAAACAGATCAACGGAACGAGAGGAAGTATTTGGAGACTAACCCCATCAATTTGTATTTTGATAGTATTATTGTATTAGAAAAATAAAATGAAATATATACATATCATTAAAAATACAACTTTTTTTATGCAAATTTCCTTTTTCATATTGAGTTGAATATATTTTCATTTCTTTTTTTTTGTTATATTTTCATTTCTTATATCAAGGTATTCGTACAAAGTTTAGCAACTGACCTTTGATACTTGCACAGATTTCCAAAGTATAGAAATGGTAAATAACAAATAGTATTGAACATGCTTTTTTGGCTGTGCCATGTGGCTTATGGGATCTTAGTTCCCTGACCAGAGATTGAACCCAGGCCATGGCAATAACAGTGCCCAGTCCTAATCCCTAGACCACCTGGGAATTCCATTGAGCATTTCTGAAGCACCTACTAGAGCTCAGACACTGTGCTAAGAGCTTCACATATTCTTTTCTAATTCTTACAAGATCCCCCCGAGGTACATAATATTATCTGCCTTTTCTAGATGAGGAATCTGAGGCATAGAGTATATACTTTTTCTCCTGAAACACCTGTGAGGGCAGGAGACAATCTTTGGGTCAAGTCAGTTAAATCTGTACTAATATGTATAGAAAACCAAGAGAGTGGGAAATAGAAAGAATTGCTGGAGCTTGTGGTTCAGGAAATGGCACTGCATTGTAAGATTCTAACCTCTATGCCCTTTTTCCTATGGTTTGGGTCAGGGTGGAAACTTAAGAGACACTGGTTCTCAAAGCAAGTTCTCACATTATTCAATATGAGATATTAAAGGCGGCTGTTAAATTTGAAGTGTTACCAGAGAGATGTAATAAATGTACTTATTGTTGATGAGCACTTAGAGTGGAATATTAAAGAAAACATCCAAGATTTGACAGTGGAGAAAGCCCAGGTGGGACCATAGTAGGAGACAAAGGCACACAATGGAGACGTGAAGGTTCTGGAAAGGAGTAAGGATATTAAATCTGATTCAGAGAAAGGACCCAAATTACTCTCTGGTTTAGTTTTTGGAGGCTAGCTGGGAATTTTATTGGTTGATTTTTATATTCAGGATTATCCCCAGGGATCTATTTGGAAATAAAGCTCTGGAACACATTGTGATACAAACTGATCTGGATCATCCAAAAGTAAGTTGTTTAGAATCACTACTATCTTTCATGGCCAAAATTTAAATATGTTTTAAAAAGTTTAAGATTCCTATTTTTCTGTTTCAGAGTTCATACTTTTCTCAGGGAAGCATTGTTGATCAATGATGGAATGAACAATTAGACAGTTCCTCTCCTGCCAATTTCTTACTTATCATTTAAAAACTTGTCTTTGCAACTTCTTTCTGTTCAATAGGTAATGAAATTCAGGAGTTTTTAAAAAGCATATTTTATAGTAGTCAAAAATAATACAATCCTGAGATCTCCATATGTTTAAATATCACTTGAATTTTTATTCAAATACCCAAGTGTTTGCTTTTTTTCAACTAGTTCTAAGATTCTTTTTTGAAGTAAATCACATTTACTACAAGCTAAGGTCTCCTGAGTCCTAAGTCTGAGTCAGTTTTGACCTAAATCTTGACTCTTTGAGGAAGATATTTAATATTAAATAGTGTGGATTATTCATTTATTAAACTTTCCCTTCCCTGGAGTTTTCACCATGGATCAATTAATACTCATTTCTGAGAAATCTGAACAAGGCTCCTGCTCTGGCAAATAGAAGCAATTCAGTAATAAGAAACTACTTGGCTAAATTCTGTGAGGTTTGGGGGCTTCTTTCTGCAGGAGGCAGAGTATTTGGTGAGTGGATGGGGAGATGTAATATGTATCAGTCAACAGTGTAACTAATCAGTATAAATGAGAGAATCAGTAATAATAACATGAATATGATAGGCAAACTAGAAAATTACTTCATAAATTCTATTCCAAAAAAAATTAAGTATTTTATTCTATGAATTCTAGAAACATAAACATGCAACTTTGGGAGTATTTACAAGTCAAGCGTTTGCTGAACTGATCTCAACTTGCCAGTCATTGAGTCAGTGTAGAAAAACTGCAGTCAAGTGGAACCTCTCATCCCTTATGAATCTGTTTTGCTCAGGTTCAAAAATGTAACTGCTGGACTTAAAAATCACTATGTGTAAAAAAAAAAATCACTATGTGTATCCTTCGCAAATGTATGCTCAAGTGTTTCATCATATACTCTGCATCAGTTCAGTTCAGTGCTACATCACATACTCTGCATCAGTTCAGTCGCTCAGTCATGTCCGATTCTTTGCAACCCTACGGACTGTAGCATGCACGGCCTCCCTACCATCACCAACTCCCGGAGTTTACTCAGACTCATGTCCATTGAGTCGGTGATGCCATCCAACCATCTCATCCTCCGTTGCCCCCTTCTCCTGCCTTCCATCTTTTCCAGCATCAGGGTCTTTTGAAATGAGTCAGCTCTTCACATCAGGTGGCCAAAGTATTGGAGTTTCAGCTTCAGCAGCAGGCCTTCCAGTGAATATTCATGACTGATTTCCTTGAGAATGGACTGGTTGGATCTCCCTGCTGTTCAAGGGACTCTCTAGAGTCTTTACCAACACCACAGTTCAAAAGCATCAATTCTTTGGCACTCAGCTTTCTTTATAGTCCAATTCTCACATCCATACATGACTACTGGAAAAACCATAGCTTTGACTAAACGAATCTTTGTTGGCAAAGTAATGTCTCTGCTTTTTAATAAGCTGCCTAGGTTGATCCTAGCTTTTCTTCCAAGGAGCAAGCATCTTTTAATTTCATGGCTGCAGTCACTATCTGCAGTGATTTTGGAAAGTGAAAGTGAAGTCGCTCAGTCGTATCTGACACTTAGCGACCCCATGGACTGCAGCCTACCAGGTTCCTCCATCCATGGGATTTTCCAGGCAAGAATACTGGAGTGGGTTGCTATGTCCTTCTCCAGGAGATCTTCCCAACCCAGGGATTGAACCCGGGTCTCCCGCATTGTAGGCAGATGCTTTACCATCTGAGCCACCAGGGAAGTAATTTTGGAGCCCACCAAAATAAAGTCTCTCACTGTTTCCACTGTTTCCCCATCTATTTGCCATGAAGTAATGGGACCAGATGCCATGATCTTAGTTTTCTGAATGTTGAGTTTTAAGCCAACTTCTTCACTCTCCTCTTTCACTTTCATCAAGACACTCTTTAGTGCTTCTTCGCCTTCTGCTGTAAGGGTGATGCCATCTGCATATCTGAGGTTATTGATATTTCTCCTGGGAATCTTGATTCCAGTTTGCGCTTCATCCAGACAGTGGCTACCCTTCAATAAAACAGAGCCTCACCACTTCCAATGAATATTCATTGGAAGGACTGATGCTATAGCTGAAGCTCCAATACTTTGGCCACCTGATGGAAAGAACTGACTCCNCCAGAGTGTCTGGCTCTAGGTGAGTGATCACACCATCATGATTATCTGGGTCATGAAGATCTTTTTTGTATAGTTCTTCTGTGTATTCTTGCCACCTCTTCTTAACATCTGTTTCTGTTAGGTCCATACTATTTCTGTCCCTTATTGTGCCCATCTTTGCATGAAAAGTTCCATTGGTATCTCTAATTTTCTTGAAGATATCACTAGTGTTTCCCAGGCTATTGTTTTCCTCTGTTTCTTTGCACTGATCACTAAGGAAAGCTTTCTTATCTCTCCTTGCTATTCTTTGGAACTCTGCACTCAAATGGGTATGTCTTTCCTTTTCTCCTTTCCATTTAGTTTCTCTCCTTTCACAGCTGTTTGTAAGGCCTCCTTAGACAACCATTTTGCCTTTTTGCATTTCTTTTTCTCAGGGGTGGTTTTTAACACTGCCTCCAGTACAATGTCATAAACCTCCGTCCATAGTTCTTCAGGCACTCTATCAGATCTAATCCCTTGAATCTATTTGTCACTTCCACTGTATAATCTTAAGGGATTTGATTTAGATCATACCTGAATGGTCTAGTGGTTTTCCCTGCTTTTTCAATTTAAGTCTGAATTTGGCAATAAGGAGTTCATGATCTGAGCCACAGTCAGCTTCTGGTCTTTTTTTGCTGACTCTATAGGGCTTCTCCATCTTTGGCTGAAAAGAATATAATCAACCTGATTTTATTACTGACTATCTGGTGATGTCCATGTGTAGAGTCTTCTCTTGTGTTGTTGAAGAGGGTGTTTGCTGTTTACAAGTCAAGCATTTTCTGAACTGATCTCATCTTGCCAGTCATCAAGTCGCTGTAGAAAAACTGCAGTCAAGTGAAGCCTCTCATCCCTTATGAATCTATTTTGCTCAGGTTCAAAAATTCAACTGTTGGACTTAAAAATCACTATGTGTATCCTTGGCAAATGTATGCTCAAGTTTTTCATCATATACTCTGGCTACCTATCATAATATTTTAACAGGCATTTCTCAGCCTTGCTCTCATCTGTCTTTTAAACATTTTAAAGAATATGTTAAAATTAATGTTCTTCTAAAGTTTTTTTATAGATAAGGGTTATAAGTACAACTCTTGTGG